GAAGTTATTTTTATTCAAGAATTCAAATTAAAATAATATTTTATAAAAAATATTATCCAAAATAATAAGTCACTGTCACTGTCCTCCCGTTGCTCATCAATTTGCTCGAGTGGGTCCAGTAACGTCTCCATTGGAGATTTTGTTGTTACTGTGTTTGGCATATCGAATACATCACGGGTGGCTTGCCAGGCTCTGCCCTGTGGGCGAGATACTCTCGGTAGCTTGCCAGGCTCTCCGAGAGGGGCGAAGGTATCGAACTCGGGTCGGCTATGTTGGCTGCGTGCAAGGCAAACGCCCTACCGCTGTGCTATATCACTCCGTCCAAAATAATATAATCAATAAATATAAATGTTAGGGTTGAATTCCATTGCATACAGTTTTGTGCTCATTTTAAATATTCTAGTACAGATTATCTAGTATCATCTGAAAAAGTGTTCTAAAATAAATTAATTAAAAATTAGATTGTCTAAGACAGTGTAATATAATATTTACTTAATTTTGACTACTAAAATAATTATTTCTTTTAAATTATTTTTAATTAATTAAACAAATTAATTAAATGATTAATTCTCTAATCCTTGGTTTACTAAAAGCATAAAGTAATGTTATTTTTATTTAAAGTATACAAAAACAGTGTCTAATCTTCAAAAAAAAAGTAGACCAACAGTTTGGCAAGATGTTTATATTGTAATAGGCTAACTATACATATTTTTATCATAATGTGACAAACATGAAGCTTCCTCATGAGATAGTCTACTTACAAGTTGTGGTATTTCTATGTAAGGCTAAATATTTTGTAGATTCTTTACTGATGGAAGATAATGCCTTAGTGAGGATTAGACATGTAAAAATTTTTAGAAAAGAAATTGTATGAAAAAGAGCATTTTAGGCAAAAGATATGACAATAATAAGTTTATTCTTGAGTACTAAGTGCTATCTGTAAGTGGACAGATCTCACTTTATGACTCATAATTATAATAGGAATTTATTAGGCAAAGTTGATACTGCAGCACAACAAGGATATAATGCAATTAGCAGTAAAAGCTAGGAATCCCCTCAGATGGAGATCAGGAGATAGACCCAACTGATAATAATTAGAGGAGCACCAGAGATTCTCTTCACTATTCTCTGTTCACAGGCAGGGCTGGACCTCATCCTGAGGGAAGGTCCCCACTGGTCTATACTATAAAAGTTTTAGGATCATGAATGGAATCCAGAAGTTTCCTCAAATCTGATGCAAATTGACACCATACTGTAGAGGTGTGTTCTTAAGGACACCTTACTATTATTTTTTATTTAGCACCTCTGTGCAAAGCCATGTCTTTCTCTATTTTTGCCTAGTGTCTGCTTAGATTGATAGATAGTATGTCATTATCAATTGCCCCTATCTCTGTTGCTCTAGCTTAGCTGGGTTCCTGCTCTTTGTTGGTGGTTCCACCTTCTTGTCAGCTGGGAATGTTGCTGACATAAAATAATGCAAAAACATATAAATGCAAAAACATAAGCAAAAGGTTGGGAAAACAAAATGGTGAGCACAGACAATTTTCTGCAGTTTTAATGTCTTAATGGAATTGTTGCAAAAAATAAATGCCCAAGAGGTAGGCAGGACATAATCAAGGAGAATCATCGTGTCAAATAAAGAGCTGATATTCCTTCCTATAAAATGAGAATAAAGGACTTTGCCTTAAGAAGTGATATTAACAAATTTGCACTTTAAAAGATAACCTTTGTTATACATAGGGGAAATGATTGGAGAAAACTGAACTTGAGTCATAGCCCTAAATAGGAAAACAATAGTTTTCAGGCAATATTTTTAAAGGAATGACTGAAGCACTAGCAGCATAATTTATGAGTGTAAGAGAGCCGTTTTAAGTTGTAGATTGCATTACCACCTTGTCGAGTCTTCTGATTAATTGTAAAGATATAAAAGATCTTCTGCTTTGAGTGATGGCACATGGATTGTATTGATAACATTTAAAATAGAGGATCTTGAGAAACCAAAGATATAGAATAGAGGTTAAGGTACAGGCCTTGCATACAGACTGCCCTAGTTTGGTCAAGAGACTCCTGAGCACTACAGGGCAACCCAAGTAATCTTTCTTACATTAATTTGGAGGTTTGATTGGTTATTGAACTATGGATATATATATTTATCTGAGTGCAATAAAGAATTAAAGAGATATTAATAAAAGGTATACACCGAGCATGTCTCTGTCACTGCCTTCCCGTTGTTCATCTATTTGCTCAAGTGGGCACCAGTAACATCTCACAACAAATTGTGAGACTTGTTGTTACTGTGTTTGGCATATCGAATATGTCACGGGTAGCTTGCCAGGCTTTGCTATGCAGATGAAATATTCTTGGTAGCTTGCTGGACTCTCCAAGAGGGGCAGAAGAATCGAACTCGGGTCGGCCATGTTGGCCGCTTGCAAGGCAAACACTCTACCGCTGTGCTATTGCTCCAGCCCATAGAGCATGTAGGTTTTAAAAATTGGATGTTGATGTACTACAAAGCAGTAATAATTAAAACAGCATGGTACTGGAACAAAGGCAGAACTGCAGACCAATGGAACAGGGTTGAATACACTGACATCTCTCCTCAATCATATGCTCATCTAATCTTTGATAAAGGTGCAAGTAATGTGAAGTGGAGTAAGGAAAGCCTCTTTAATAAATTGTGTTGGCATCACTGGACGGCTACATGCAAAAAAATAGGCTCAGAACTCTGCCTAACACCATGTACAAAAGTAAGATCAAAATGGATTAAAGACCTCAACATCAGACCAGAAACCATAAGGTACATTGAAGATAAAGTTGGCAAAACCCTCCATGACATTGAAGCTAATGGTATCTTCAAAGATGCCACGCCACTGGCCGAGCAAGTGAAAACAGAGATAGATAAATGGGACTATCTTAAGCTAAGAAGCTTCTGCACCTCCAAAGAAACAGTGACCAAAATACAAAGACAGTCTACAGAATGGGAAAGGATATTCACCGAATACACATCTGACAAGGGGTTGATATCCAGGATATACAAAATACTGGTTAAACTCCACAAGAAGAAAACATCCAACCCCATCCAAAAATGGGGCAATGAAATGAACAGAAACTTTCTCAAAGAAGAAATCCGAATGGCAAAAAAGCACATGAGAAAATGCTCTACATCATTAATCATCAGGGAGATGCAGATCAAAACCACAATGAGATACCATCTCACACCTCAGAGACTGGCCCACATCAAAAAGAACAAAAGCAACCGATGCTGGCGTGGATGTGGCGAGAAAGGGACACTCCTTCACTGTTGGTGGGAATGTCCACTGGTTCAGCCCTTCTGGAAAACAGTATGGACGATTCTCAAAAAATTAGAAATTGAGCTCCCATTTGACCCAGCAATACCACTCCTGGGAATATATCCCAGAGAGGCAAAAATGTATAGTCGAAGTGACATCTGCACTTGTTTGTTCATTGCAGCCCTCTTTACAATAGCCAGAAACTGGAAGAAACCTGAATGCCCAAGAACAGATGACTGGTTAAAGAAACTTTGGTACATCTACACAATGGAGTACTATGTAGCTCTTAGAAAAGATGAAGTCATGAAATTTACATACAAGTGGTACAATATGGAAAGTATCATGCTAAGCGAAATGAGTCAGAAAGAGAGGGATAGACATAGAAAGATTGCATTCATCTGGGGGATATAAAGTAACAAAGTATGAGATTAATACCCAAGAATAGCTGAGATCAGCACCAGGAGGATTACTCCATAACTTAGAGGCCAGCCGGGTATCCTAGAGGAAAGGGTTATTCAGATAGAGAAGGGAGCACCAAATAAAGAATGTTTGGAGGATCCTCCCAGGAGGGGAGATGCATGTCGAAAGTAGACTATGGACTGAACATGTTTGCCACTCAATGCCTCTTTTGCAGACCACAACACCCAAAAGGAGAGAGAGAACACAGGGGATTGCCCTGCCACAGAGACGGGGGGATGGGGGGATGGGGGTGGGAGGGATATTATCCATGGTGGTGGAAAATGGGCACTGGTGGAGGGATGGGTATCTGATCATTGTATAATTGAAACCAAAGCACAAAAAATTGTAAATCTACAACTTTAAAAAAAATAAAATAAAATAAAGGGAAAAAAAAAAAAAACTAGTAACTATAACAGGTCTCATTCCCCTGACCTTGAAAGAGCCTCCAATTGTTGGGAAAGATGAGTAAGGAGAGGCTAAAAAAAAAAAAAAAAAAAAAAAAAAAAAAAAAAAAAAAAAAAAAAAAAAAAAGAAATCAAGGTATGAACAAAAGAGACTTCAATAAAGGTGGCATTAGGTATTAGAGATATTGTTCTTGACTTTCACAATTTTAATAGTGTAATAGGAATAGAAGAAAATAGGGGGTAATGTGAAAACAGTAAATGCAGTCTTGTTTTGAAATGTTTTCTATTCAGAAAGAAACAAAATGTGTTAAATGTTTCTTTATGATACACCCCAGCTATAAGATAACTAGAAATCCTGAATAAAACTGAGAATCTGACATTTATTTATTTAATTATTTATTTTTCTTTTGGGGGCCAAACCTGGAAGTGCTCAGAGTTTGCAGAAATCAACCTTGGTTTTTCTTGGAGAACCATATGGGGTGCTGGGGATTAAACCTAGGTCAGTCACATGCAAAGCTACTGCCTTTCGCACTGTACTCTCTGACTGTCCCAAGAACTTTGCATGACCCTTAGCATCACCATTCAGCATTTATATTACACTGAATGTTGCATGTCTAGTTGCATTAAAGTTTTGATGTACCTAAACGGGGTATTCTGAAAATATATTTTATGTCCAGAATTTTGCATTGCAGCTGAATGCGATGATAAAATTGTAAATTGTTTGATACATGTCTGCAACAAAGTTTTTGGTAATATAAAGAAATGAACTAGAATATATCATCTGAGGATGAGGGAGTAAAAAAAACCTCATTTATTCATGATTCTTCTGTTTATTTTTACCTTTCAGATGATAAATCGTTCTATTTTCTTGCATCTTATAAAGTTACGAATATAAAATACAAAGAAAATTATGGAATAAGAACCTCCAGAGACTTTACAGAAAGGAGTCGCCAGATTGAGAGAATGGTAAGCCCAACGGGAGTTTTACATTTATGAGTTTTTTCTACCTCACTTTGTATGGGATTGTTAGAGGAACTTAGTCTCAAACCTCAAATTATTCTGTAAAATGAAGATAATATAAAACATAGGCCACAAGATTGTGAGAATTTAATAATGTAATTTTGTAAAATATTTAGAACAATGCCATATGCAATAGAATTCTTGTATACGGACCAGAGGGAATGTACAGCAGGTTAAGCAACCACCTTGTACACAGCTGACTTGGGGTCTCCAATGCTCCTGATTGCAAAGTCAAGAGTAAGCTCTGACTTTGGCTGAATGTAGCCCTCAAAACAAAATAAATATCTAAAGTGAAATAAAATAAAATGTAAATAGATTAGATTAGGCAACCAATTACACTGAGGAAGTTGTTAGTTGAAATAAATGTTTTCCTTTTGAAAAAAATTCTTTTCTTTCTTTTTTTCTTAATATACAGGACCAAAAAAAGTAAGTTTGAAATATTTGCGTTACATATATTGTTTTACTTCTAAAAATCCATAGATATTTATATACAAGGGTGTATATGTCTATTTCTTGATATTATTTCAAATCTGGTTATTTTTCTCTAATATTTTTTATTTCCCTTTAAAACATGTTTCTCAAGCCATTTCTAATTTTTAAAAGTTAAATAAAAGATTAAGCTAAATCTTTCTTATCACAACATAGTGTCAAAACAAACAATCTTTTCTTGTTTGCTGTGCTTCTTCATGAAAATCATGTCCAGGAATTGATGTATCTATTTATTAAATCCCTCTATATTAGCCTAGAGTGTGTTTTTTAATATCTATGAGAGTTATTCTGGAACAAAAAGTACTGACTCATTTAAGGGGGAACAGGTTCATATGATTATTTATAGCTATTTGTGGACTGTCACTGTCAGTGGTATCACCGGATACCACCCCGATCAAAAACCTATTTGTGGACATTGCCTTTAATTTAAAGATGATGACAGCACTACAGCTGTGTTTGTTGTTGTTGTTGAGTGTTTTTGTTTTATGAGCCGTATCCAGCATTGCTCAGGGCTGACTGCTGATGACCCTCAGGGATCACTTGCAGGCTCTGGGGATTGTGTTGGATACGTGGATAGAATTCGGGTCCACCATGTGCAAAGTAAATGCCCTACCAGCAGGCCTATCCCTTCAGATTCCAGCTCTACCAACTTTTACTCATTGCACTCTGCTTTCTCTGAAATATTGACAGTGTAGGAAAAAAGAGTTACCTTTATGTAGATTAAAAACCAATAAATAGTATTATTTCCAGTTATTTAAATGTTTATAATTTAAACATAAATATTTGCCAGCCAAGCTTCAAAATCTTTTCTAGTCTTTTTAGTTCTACTGCAAACTTTGTCGTTTCTTTCCATTTGATCATTTTATACTTACTTTTCTCTTTCCCCAGTTCTTTGATAGACTGTTGTTTATTTGAGAACTTAAATTTTTCACAGTGTAGGCGTTTGGCACTATAAACTTTTCCCTCTTTTTAAATTGTAAACTTCTTACTTAGAACTGTTTTTCTGCATCACTTAATAGTGTCATCTTTATTTCAAAATTCGATCTAATGTTGGGGATTTTGTTATTTCCAGTTACAGGAATTTTTCCATTTTATTGATTTCCAGTTTAGTATCATTGCGGTCATAAAACACTCTCACTATATTTTGAACTTAAATTTGTTAGGGCTTATTTAGGTCCAACATGTGGTCTATCTTAGAGTGAGTTCCATGAACACTTGAGAATAATGTTTAATGGTGTTATTCGGTGAAATGAAATGTCCAATCCATGTCTTTTAGATCAGCCTATAATGTTATTCAAGTCCACTGTTTTTTTATTGATTATATATCTAAATGATCTAGTCATTGTTGAAATTGGGGTATTGAAATCCTCTGCTACTATTGTATTATTTTGTATTTTTTCTATATTTTCTTAATATTTTTTTACAAATGTATGTGATCAGTGTTGGACACAGGAGTTTTTACATATTTTAATTAATTTTATTAACTTTATATATACAACAGTTTATTTTTATTATCACTATTATCATTATTATTGCTGGAACAATAGCAGAGCAGGTAGGGTGTTTGCTTGCATGCAGCCAACATGGCCGACCCGAGTTCTATTCCTCCACCCCTCTCGGAGAGTCGGCATGCTACCGAGAGTATCTTGCCTGTGCGGCAAAGCCTGGCAAGATCCCCGTGAGGTATTCGATATGCCAAACACAGTAACAAGTCTCGCAATGTTACTGGGCCTGCTTGAGCAAAATCGATGAACAACGGGAGGACAGTGACAGTGAATCACTGACAGTGACAGTGATTATTATTATCATGATTATGATTTTTGGACCACACCTGGTGATGCTCAAGGTTATTCCTGCCTCTACACTCAGTAATTACTCTTGACAGTGCTTGGGGAACCACATGGAATACCGAGGATCAAACCTGGGTCAGCTCCAATAGTACAACAAATGTCCTAGATGCTATACTATTGCTCCGGCCCCAAATTTATTATACTTGGAATGCTGTTTTATCACCACCACAGTGTCAGTAACCCTCCACCACTGCCACAGGATACCACCTTTGATCAAAAAACTTTATAACTTCAGTTTACTGTTTTGTTGATAATATCTGTTTGTTTCCACTCGGGATTGTCTACTTTTCTTGTTTTCTTTCCTTATATTCCACAGATGAGCGAGGTCCTACAGTGTTGTCCTTTCTCTTCTGCTAATGATTTTTCATGATATACTCCAATGCCATCTGTTTCAACTGAAAGATTTCGTCTTTTATCATATTTGAGTAATATTATATTCTAGTGTGTGTGTTTGTGTTATATCTGTTTATATGGGCTGGAGCGATAGCACAGTGGGTAGGGCATTTGCCTTGCATGCAGCCAACCCAGCCGACCCAGGTTCTATTCCTCTGCCTGTCTCGGAGAGCCCAGCAAGCTACCGAGAATAACTTGCCCGCACGGCAAAGCCTGGCAAGTTACCTGTGATGCATTCAATATGCCAAACACAGTAACAACAAGTCTCACAATGGAGACGTTACTGGGCCTGCTCGAGCAAATCGATGAACAACAGGAGGACAGTGACAGTGACAGTGATCTATTTATATAGAGATAGATAGGTATAGTGAATAATTCTGTAATGAGCATGGGTGCACTTAAATGTTTGCAGGTGAATGTTTAATTCATTGGGAGTAGATATCCAAGAGAGACATTGCTAAGTCATTTAGAAGTCCTATTCTTAATTTTTTGAGAAGTTGTAATACTGTTTCTCTATGTGTTGAACTAGACATCAGTCCTGCTGAAAGTGACTCAGGACTCCATTCTCAACATATACACACCAGTGCTGGTTATTTTCATTCTTTTTCCATATAAGCTTTCCCACTGGTGTGAAGTGATATCTTATTGTTGTTTTTATTTGCTGATATTCAGTTATGACACTTTATCGTATGCCTGTTGGCCATTTGTATGACATCTTTGAAGAAGGGTCTGTTCAACACCACTCTTTTTGTTTGTTCTTAGTTGTCAAACTTTGTAAAATATTTATTTTGGAAATTAGTCATTTGTCTGATATGTGATGTGAAAATATTTTCTCTCATACATCAAAGCAACTTGTTGCTTTGTTGTTCATAATTGGGTTTGCGTCAGTCAATGTTCCAACACCCAACCCTTTATCAGTATAGATTTACCACCACCAATATTCCCAGTTACTATCCCCCTTCACAGCCTTACAGCCTGTCTCTATGGCAGATACTTTCTATTTCCCATCTCTCTCTCTCTCTCTCTCTCTCTCTCTCTCTCTCTCACACACACACACACACACATCCACCCACACACCCACACACCCACCCACTCTCTCACACACACATTCTCTTTTTCTCTTTCTCTCTCTACCACCCACTCTCTCTCTCACATACACACATTCTCTCTTTCTCTTTCTCTCTCTTCCTCTCTCTCCTGTCTCTCCCTCTCTTTCCTTTTATGCATTGTGCTTTGCAATACAGGTACTTCAAGGTTATCAGGTTATATCACTTTATCTCCTTTCAGCACTATTATTGTTTTACACGAAGATAACCAGTTTTTCCAGCACCATTTCTTGAAAAGGCTTTCCTTGCTCTGATCATGCCCTTAGCACTTTTGTTTCAGAACAACTGTTTGTTAGTTAAGGATTTTCCTGTAGACTCTCAGTTATATTCTGCTGATCTAAGAGTCAGTCTTCAGCCCAGTGTCAAGCAGTTTTGATTACTATGATTTTGTAATACAGTTTACAGACATGCCCTACAATGTTTCCCATCTTCCTCTTTCTAACGATTGCCTTGAAGTTCTAAGATTTTATGGTTTCACTGAAATGTTATAAGTACTGTTCTGTGTCCTTGAAAAATTTCATGGGAATTTTGGTGGCAGTTGAGTTAATTGTGCATATTATTTTGGGTAATATGATATTTTAACAATATTGATTCTTCCAATTTGTAAACAGAAATATACTTCAATTTCCTTGTGTTTTTTTATTTCTTTCAGTAGTATTTTCATAGTTTTTGATAAATAGGTCTTTTGACTCCTTTTTATGTGAATTCTTAGATACCTGAGGGTTTTTTGGACATGATTGTAATATTTTTTGTTGTCATTGTCACTAGTGTCCTTCTTTTCCCAAAGCTCATATAAAACTCCAAAGTCGTATGAGTGTTATAGCTCAGCAAGGAATTTTTGTTTCTTTAAACTGATTTATATTTTTATATGTGCTCTAATGTTAGCTGAGTTAAAAATACTAATAACTGAATTATTTATATACTATAATTAACTTAAAGTAACAAAGGAACTATTTATATTTCAACAAGTGCCATACATAGAATAAAAAAAATGCCTATTCCAGGACTAACACTGAGTTAGATACTATGCCAACATATCAATCTCAATTTTCTCATTGGGGCACTAAGTAATTAGTCCTCTCCTAATAGAATTCCTTATCACAAGACC